GTGTGTGTGTGTGTGTGTGTGTGTGGGGTCCCGCAAAACCAGGAAGCTGTGACATCGACCTGAGCCTGAAGCTTTCTGGGTGAAGAGACCCGTGTTTCTGTGCGACGTCATAAAATCCTCCTGATCAACTGGAGCCAGGAGGAGGAACTGACGTCAACGAAAGGTTGTGGTCATGTGATCAGAGTGAGTTTAAGTGTCTTACGGTGGACGTTCTCCTGGTCGCCCTTCAGGCCCTGGATGATGCCGGTGTACGCCTCCAGACAACCCTCCCTCAGCTCGTTCAGGTAGTCCACCATGTCGTAGTCCGTCTGACACACACACATTACATAGTAAAAGGATAAGATGATGAAACCAGTTCACTTTGGTGATATTTGATTTTCTGTTTCATGTATTTCTATGTAAACATTAACCCTCTAGAAACAGCTCCCCCTGCTGGTGGCCGCTAACAAGACACCATTGTCATGATCCATGACAACACAGAGTATTTAGAACATTCATTCTTCTTGCAGCAGGAAGTCGAGGGCTCATGTTTTCTACCTCTGACGTCATCATGTTTCATCACGTGCAGTGAAAACTTGGTGAACCTGCACTGGCTCCAGAGCAGAGAAAAATATTCACATCTCCAAAACTAAAAAATGTTCATAATTCAAATAACTTGAGGAAAGTGAAATATTTCGTTTTTTTCTCCATATGTGTTGATAAACATCATGATATAAATCAAATCACTATTTCTGTCATTTGTGCTTCAGATGGTAAAAAGATTACAGCTATATAGTGTCTGTGAGGTAACATATTATTCTTCCTCTTTAAATAGCAAAAAAACATCTACACTACGGAATTCCTCCGGCCCTGCTTTCAACAATGACCGTCAACGACAGTTATCTTTATTGTTTTATATTCCAGCCGACGATCAAAATGTTTAATTTATGAAGAAAATGTCAGATTGATATATTTATATATATTAAGTGGTATTGCAGTTTCAGTACTTTATTGACCTACAGAACCTTTTAGCTGAGGTTGTACAGATTTTTAGAGATTCTCCGGGAAATGACATCACGGGAAGTAAAAATACCGACGTAGATACTGGTGGAACATTTCTACAGCAGAGGTCAGAGGTTAAAACATTTTCTAAGTTATGACGAACTTGACTAAAGTTTTCCAGACATAGTGAGAATATCCTGGATTCTGATGTCATCAGTTTGAAGTGTGTTTGTGTACCTTGTCGACCTGAGCCTGTGACGCCTGCTGCAGCGTGTCCAAGACGATGTCCAGGTATTTCTTAAACTCTCCTCCAATGGCCAGAGCGATGTCGCCGAACGCAGACAGGATCTGAGGTTTCACTGAGCGGTGGACGTTCTCGTTCTAAAGGAGGCGGAGAAAAACGTGGATCAGTTGAGGCGAGCAATGAAGAAACTGAGGAAGAGGAAGTATGGAGGTCTCATATATGTGGTTTTACATCACGACTTCAGTGTGGTGCATGATTCATCATCACTAAGCAACGACGCGGACAGAGAGAGAGGGGGAGGAGAGGGGAGGAGAGGGAGCCAGATGTTCCTCACCCCCAGGTTCTCTAGCAGCAGCTGCATGATCTCGTCACAGTACGGCAGGATGTTGGACATCAGAGCTCTGCACAGGTCACACACCAGACCCACCGCCGCCAGACACACCTGAGACAAAATCAATCATCATCCTCATCGTCTTCATCATCATCATCATCATCCTCATCATCCAGAGACTCAATCATGTTCATGTTACAGTGACATGAAGCTAACTAGACAGAATGCTTTTAATTTGAAACTGCCACAGATGACTTCCTGTAACTGGTGTGATGGTGGCGAGTGGTCAGGCAACCGACCTGATACTCGGCAAAGTTCTTCAGTCCGATGGCGAGGAACGGCTTGAAGGCCTCCATGTACTTCTGGAAGTCTCCGCCCAGGACTGAATCACAAACCAACACCACATATTAAATGAAGCACAGCGCCACCATGTGGCGGTTCCACTGTCTCAGCTGAGCGTGCGTACCTTCCACCAGCGTGGACACGGCCATCAGAGCGTCCTCCTGAACGCCTCCAGAGCCGGCGGTGCTCTGGAACATGCGGAGCAGAGAACCCATGACCACGTCTGAGATCTGCAGAGCGTCCTGATGCTGAACTTTACGCAGAACGTTCTACAGGAAGAAACACAGCCTGCTTATATACACTCACACATAAACTTTATGGAGTTAATATACAGTTAGTGATGGCGTATATACAGTTAGTGATGGTGTATATACAGTTAGCGATGGTGTATATACAGTTAG